TCGCCGGAAAGAGGAGAATCACCAGTGCACAGTCGACTCGCGTAGGTAGCCCCATAAGCGAAACGTTGACCTCCTCCTCCTACTCCTCCTTCTCCTCCTCCTCCTTCTTCCACACTCGCGTGTTCTCCTTTCTCGTTTTTCCATCTTACAGACTTTGATTCTCCCTGATATCACCGTGTCTCACTTCAGCTTCCAACGGCGCGCCGGCTAGAAGGAAGGCTGCTGCGATTGGTCATAGCTGGCTAGGATCGATGATGCTGCTAGCTGCTGGAGCCTAGTGACAACATGGCCTCCCTGAACGCCGATAACACCCGGTGATGATCTGATCACTCGATTTGTTTCCAATAAATCGGGTGGAGCCGATTCGCACAAATGGCCGTATCCTCTGGTCACGGCTAATAATGTCTTTGTCAGGTGGACGCTTCTCGAACTCAGATAAGTGGTTCTCGAAAAATAAACGGATCTCGCACACAGGAAGATGGAGACGTTGGATCAAGAAGGCAGGAATTAAACGGTAATACTTTTCCTTTCGAGTACTCTCCGAGATCGCCGGAGAATCGATCGTTTGGCTTTCGGCCGCTGGTCGCGAACGAGACGTCGCGACGCGCTGGCTGTGTCCAGGATCATCCTTAAATCTCTTCCTCCTCGACAATCGGCAGGCTACTCTGGTGCATCAGCGGACTCGTTCTCGCGGTGAAGGCCATTATCCAGTAATCGAGCTCTTTCTTGTTTTCCATGAGAAAGGTCAACGCAATTGGCGAATCGAAACCTTTCTGTCTAACGAGGAATCCCTCGTCTCCGTAACGCTCGATCATCGTGTTCCTCAGGTTCAACACGCCCAGTGGCCTGCACACCTTCTTCTGAGGATAAATTACGGCAAAATGCTCGACGCTTGTCCGGTAGACCTTCACTTGAACGCCCTGACGATGACCGTTCGGGCCCACCAAGGTCATATAGCCGCTCATGTTCTCCGTGTTCCAACAGGAATCCACGTTCGAGTCCTTCAAGCTCGACTGATTAAATTGCAGGAAGTTTGTATGCATCGCTACGTCGGCTGGCATTTCGCTTCGTGCTACACCTTTAACCTCCTTCGACTCGAACGAAATATCGGCTGAACGTCGGAGATTGATAAGACCGTTGGTAATTAATTAGCCAGGAAAATGTCAATGCGCGCAGAGTCAATGACTCGTTTGTGCAAATTGCCGTGAAGCTACTCGCGTTCCGAATCAGAGTGCGACGCTCTCTCGCACAGAACTGTCTGCGTAAACTTTCACCGCCGCTATTTATACGGAATAGAAAGGTACGCATGCGCAGTGTCACATGCGTAGACGCTCTCAACAGATGTCAGCGAGAATGATAGTAGTCGCGTGGTTATTATAATTCGAAATTATTAGCCGATATCGTGATAGAAATAATCGGCTTACAGAATAATTTTCTTTTCAATCGCACGAGCGTCGTAGTTTAATGATGCGTAGATATTTTCTTGCGAAGCTTATTAAACGAAATGTTTACGATTGCTATGTTTCTGGCTACAACTGCGACAGTTCGCATTACAGACAAGATCATTGTATCTATGATAGCAAAGTGAAAAGATTAAAAATTAAAAAATTTAAAATTTTAAATTCGGTTACTTCTCAATTTAAAAAAATAAAAACTAAATTTCTGTTAATTAGTTAAACTCATATGGACAAATGTAACAAACTGCACATACGTTATTAATTAATTTCTTCTAAATTTATAAACTGCCAAATATAAAAAGTGAAATAAACAAATTATTTTAAAAATCTATAAATTTATAAATATGTAAGTTTTAATAGTTCGATTTTCAAAATTTTGTGAGTTTAAAAATTTATAAATCCTAAATTTGAAAATTTATAAATTTTGAAGTTTGTCAAATTTAAAAATAAATTTCCGAATTTTTAAGCTCTTAGGTCTAAGAATGTTCAATTTTGAAAATTTGTAAATTTTAAAATTAAAAAATGTTAAAGAGAAAATTTTAAAATGTTTAAAGTTTGGAAGTTTAAAAACATATTTTCGTTTCCTTCTTTGTCAACATTGTCAAACATGGTGTATGCACGTCGTACATGTAAAACGACTTTAAAAATAATATATCGAAAGTGTTTTGCCTCCAAATACATTTAATTAATTAAAGCAAACCAAATATCGTCATTATAACATAATTCGTTTGAACTGCAATTGAGAACTTTTGGAAATTATATTACATTACTAATGTATAGTTCAAATAGAGTATATACATCTATATGAATTCATATCTGTATATAAATGTGAGCTGGATGCATTGGATACGCAAATTAAATTTTTGGACCTTAAGATACTTAGCCATCTAGTGGTGAATGATGAAAATTAATAAAAGTAAATACGATACTACAGTTTTTCCATTCACCGATTTGTTCGAACTGTTAACACTTTCATAACATCCGGAAAACATGATTTCGGTGCAACATGACCAATATTATTATTAATTATCGAAAAAAATCAATATTAATAGAAATCGGTCGGAAACAGTATAACTGGCGACATCTGTCGGTCAATGACGAAACTAGTGAAATTAAAAATTGAGTGACATCGGCTAAATTTTGCAAACAAGCTCTTTTTTCAAAAGAAGATATCTGTGAGAATGGTTTTTGGCAATTCGAAAGAAAATTTTTTGTTATTCTTATGTCAATCTCTATATCGTCAACGAGATACACAGTAAAGTGTGTAAATTGTTCTGAACATATATTGCAAACAGCATAAAGTTAATATTAATAAATATATAATAGGCATATAGTATATTAATCAATAAAATCAATTTTAATTGAATTTTCACGGAAATGAAACGAATGCTGCCATCTCTCCGACGAAAAGGCTGGAGTACATACTTTTGAATCTGTAGTTGTCTTCTTCTAATTAGGCTAATTAGAATTAGCCTAAAAATGGTTAAAAATTGATAATAATTTAATAAAGTCAAATTCGAAGTTAATTCTTTTTGCACTCCGATGTAATTCCATTCATATTATAATAAATTAAGCTAATAAAATCAACTTTATTAATAGAATTGCACGGAAACGGTACTCGTGGCGCCACCTGGCGACGCCGTGTGGGACTAATGAAACTACAGTTTCAAAATCATGTAGTTCACCTTGCTCGCCGAAGAGATGGCGCAACTTGTTCCATTTTTTTGAAAATGTAGTTAACATCAATTTTCTTAGTTTAATTTACTATAATATGCATTAAATTACATCAGAGTACAAGAAAAATTAAAGAACACAAAGTATGTCTGATGCATGTCAACATACGGAAACCGGATTTATACTTGAATGCACTGCTTAAAGAGACTTTGAATACTGTATGGTAAATTATCATCAAAATTCAGTCATAGTCCGCTCCATGCAAGATGGTACTAGTAGTACTTTCCTCGTAGCAGTCTTTATAAAATAGAGAACACGTTTTGTATGAAATCTGATAACAAACTGACCAGTAAGCTTTTGCAAGCAAATATCTACTGTATAGAAATATTTTCTTTCTATGAACAACTCAATGTATTTTAATTTGAACAACATAGGCAATGCTGCATTTTACTCATAAATGCAAACAAAATCAGATTTCATATTTTATCTAAATGTAAAGAAAATCAAGTATCTGTGTCACCTAAGAACTACGACTTACCATCCATTTATCTAATTTTTGTTTTCAGATAAACTACATAATATGAAATATTTTGTAAACAAAATCAGTTTATTATTTACATTCTCTGTTGGCATATCAAGAGTGGATAATTTGATTTATTGCGATCAATGCATTTCAAATAAACAATAGATTTCGTGTAAAACTTATTGCGTATGATTAGTGCTCTTACTGTAAATATTTCTGGAAACCGGTCAAGTTTTTCTTAATTTTCTTGTTTGTGGAATGCGCTTCTCGAATCTAGAGAAGGAAGCTAAGCACTCTAGTTGACGCATACTATGAATCAGAGTTCACAGCCGAGTGTCTCTTTGCCAAATAATTGGTCGGTACACTCACCGGTATTTACTAGATGTCTGTTGTCCTCATTCTATCAAATATAAATTACGTATACTGATAGATTCAGAAAAATAAATATTCAAAGGAATTTCACAAAAGTCAGAAAAAATATACTTCGATATTAACAAATTATATCTTTTATACAAACTGATGTTATAAAACTGTAATGCTTAAAAATTTAGCATTTCCTTTTGTAATTCCTTCATTACAGTCTGAATTATGAAATAAATGAATCAGAAAAATCAACTTTATTATATCTATCAAAACATTGTATTTAAAAACAATTTCATAACAATTAGGATTACGTTATACATAATTACACATAATTAGAAATTCAGGATAGTAAATATTAAATAACGAAATGCATATTTTTACTTCCTCTTATATTTTCAAATATTTGAAGTGTATATTTTTTTTCAATTAAAATTTAAATAAATATAGTTTCCTCTTATTATCTTTAAATGTATATATGTCTTATTATTTTTACTATAAACCGAATCTCTCTCTCCTGCCACTGTATTGTGTTGACATAAATTTAAGGTAAGTTTACATCAAGCGTTATTAGAGTTGACTGATAAAATAATTAAATCGTACTGAAAAAAACCATTTAATTCGTCAATACATTTGAATTTCATTGAAAAAGAGAATAGTAAATACATAAAAATATTCATCAAAGCCAGGTAACAGCAAAAATATGTTGCTTATTATATTAATTTCTGGGTTAATGTAACTATGAAAGAAAAGGTTAGATATAGTGTCAAATAGTGTCATATTGTTTAAGAAGTAATCAAGTGAAGATAAATTATCTTTTCTTTTTTGCAATAGTTTTGCAATAATAATTTATTTATACTGATTATTTAATAATAATTTATTAAATTATTTAATAATAATTTATTTATACTGAAATTATTTAATAATAATTTATTTATACTAATCTTTTAAAAGTTGTGCGCATTTATAATTTTATTAAAGATAACATGAGACAACAAATAATTGATGCGAAAAATAGTTCTCATAATTCTGGAGAAGCTGATGAATGCCTTTTTGAGTATTTACACACTGAGATGGTCAACTACGCTCTAAGTAAAACAAGTAAAAATAAGGTAATTATTAAATTAAATTAATATAATATAATATAATATGATTCTGAAACATATAATAGTTACAAAATGATTGAAACATTTTTAATAGTTAAAAGTACTAGTATGCATTACAACTATAGTATGTAAAATTATATGTACATTATTAAATTCACTTTAATTTTAATCAATGCTGAAATTGATTTTATACTTTTAATATTGGTAATGAATTATACTGATTTATATCATTTAAAATAAAAAGGAAGGGGAAGAAGAATTATCTCGACTTGAATGGATGGGATTCAGTGTTGGATACAGAATTATTGAACGATTGACACGGGAATGGAATCGATTTAAAGATGAATTGGATATGATAAAGTTTATCTGTACTGATTTTTGGTCCAGTCTTTATCATAAACAAATTGATAATTTACGAACAAATCATCATGGTGTATATGTATTGCAAGATAACTCATTTAGATTATTAGATAAAATAGGTACTAGTAACAATAAACAATATCTTCAAGAAAGTCCAAGATTACTAGCATTTACTTGTGGACTTTTAAGAGGTAGTTTAGCAAATCTTGGAATTATTAGTACTGTTAATGCAGAGATTGCTACATTACCAAGTTGCAAATTTCATGTACAAGTGCAAAGAATTTAATATTAATAAACCTGATTTAATATAGACAAAATAAGAGTTAAATGTATGTGTATTATAAAATAGCTGTAAGATTATAAAGTACATGATTTTCTAGTAATAAAAAAAATGCAAAAGATATTTTGCAGTGTAAGATTTTGCAAATACATGCTTCACTGCAAAATTTTATTTATATAAACAATTACAATTGAACAATAGAAATGTATTATATCAATGATATTTCAAATAAAAATGTATTATAAATGTATATAATCACAACCAATTATATTGAAAAGATAAATGCAATTTTCATAACTTACATAATTCAAAATTCATATAATTTTACCTAAGTTAAATGTGGTAAATATCACCCATTCTGCAACTATATCCTAAAGTATATTTGTACTTTGTTTGATATTTGAATCTTTGTTTCACATGTAAGTTCTCGCATAATTTTATTTTTTTAGACTAATATAAAATGTAATAAAAAATTATGGAAATATGTAAAATAGTATATAAAAGTAAAATAATATAAATCTTATAATCTTAGATTGTATATTGGTTTCTAAAACTTAACTTATATTATTAGATGTTATTTTATCATTTTTGGCAATAAAATTCAGAATATGAAACTGATTTACAATGCCAACAAAAGCATCATTATGTTCGTCGTCTAAAATAATCGCGTACGATTCCTTTTCAAGAATACGTGATAGTAGACCAATAGTTGCAGAAGGTTTAACTTTAACATAATGTTTGATCATAGTCTTCTCTACAAAATCTGTGTGTTTTACTGCACCAGAAATTAAACTCGACATAAGTTTATTCGGGATAATAACACCTTTTACATGTACATTGTCGTCACTAATAACTAATGGTTGAGACTTTTTATCTTCAAAAATATGAGTAGCTTCACGACATGTTATTGTGTTTTCCTTTAATAAAAGCGGTTTATCAAAAGACAAATTTGAAACTGGCATATTCCACCACCATTTGTTCATCTCATTGTTACACTCGAGTGCCTGTAATTTATTATAACAATATATTGTTCGGATTTATAGGAAAAATATGTATTACATATAGAACAAAATAATAGATTACCAAAAATCCCCTAACTTCCATCCAATGATCAGATACAAATTTGGTCAAATAATTTCGTATTCCGTCAGGTAAAATCATAACAACACGTTTTCCTTCAGGAAGATCTTTAGCTATTTTAAGACCACCTACAAGTGCAGCACCACTACTACCACCACATAATAAGCCCTCCTGACGTACAAGCATTCTGGCAGCATTAAATGATTCATTATCCTCAGTCTCTATCCAGTCATCAATTACATTACGATCTAACACTGTAGGTATAAAGTCATATCTAAAACAATTTACTAGTTATTTTAAATCTAATGTAAAAATGTATGTCAAATGTAATCAAAAAACAATATTTACCCAATTCCTTCTACTTCGTAAAAACCAATTTCTTCTTCTGATTGTTTTGCTGGGTTTAAAATACTTCCTTTGGGATCCACGGCAATAATTTTTATATCTGGTGATAATTCTTTCAACTTTCGTCCAACACCACTCACAGTACCACCTGTACCTGCACCAATTATTACATAATCTATCTTTCCTTCGCATTGTTCCCAAATTTCAGTAGCAGTTTGATCATAATGAGCTAGTGGATTCCCAGGGTTAGTGTACTAAAAACATAATATGAAATAATAACAAATAAAAACAGTTAAATATTTATATGTATAAAGTATTACCTGATCTAGGATGATACTGTTTGGTATTTCACTTTGTATTTTTTGTGCAACACTAATATGTGACTCTGGACTACTCCAAATTGCTTCTGTGGGTGTTCGAACAATTTCAGCACCAAATGCACGAAGAGTAGACACTTTTTCTTCAGACATTTTTTCTGGCATAACAATAATACATCTATATCCTTTAATTGCAGCAGCCATTGCTAAACCAATTCCTGTATTACCACTTGTAGGTTCAATAATGGTATATCCTGGTTTTAGAAGACCCTTCTCTTCTGCATCTTGAATCATTCTATATGCAATCCTGTCCTTAACAGATCCACCAGGATTAAAAAATTCACATTTTACATCTGAAATCAAACTCATATATTTATAACATTGTCATAAGTAATTTATTAAATGAATAATATTAATACTCACACATTTCACATTTAATTCCATGAGCTTTAGGAATATTATTCAATTTTATAAGTGGAGTTTTACCAATAGCTGTTAAAATATCAGGCATTATCTTGTTACGATCAGCATATCTGAAATAGTGGTTATAATACAATTTAAATAAAAAGAAATTAATTTCAAATTAAAAATAATAAAAAACATCCTTGCAAAAATAAAATATAATCTTACACCTAATTTCTGATTGACTCTATAAATTTTACCACAAACTATTACTGTGAATGCTTTAATGTAGTATACAGATACTATTTAGTATTAATGTTAACATCTATTAAATCAGTTTATAAATAAATACAGTGAATGTAATAAGTAATACTATAATAAATAACTCTAATAAATTAAACATTTTAGTTTCAACAAAGTTTAGTTTATTACATATTATATCATACAAAATGTTAACTGTTCTCATATACACAAAGTTTATACTTTTATTTATTTACATGCCAGAATAATTATTTGTTTTAACTTAATTTGATTTTGCTATATTTTCGTAATAAGCTATTTCCTTCACGTTATAGCATTGTATACTAAAATTCATAATACCACTTTTCAAATTTGATGTATGCATGCTATGCAAATTTTCTTATATACAAAGTCTCCAATACAATTTTATTATTCATCATTTTTCCTATTTTAAATTGTACCGTCTCCTGAACATTATTTCTATCATGAATATTAGCTGTACACATGCTAATACAAAAGACAGTATAAAATGTTCCTTATATTTACGGAATTATTATCTAACAACATTATCGCAGAGATTTTCTATGATCCAAAGCTGTTTACAGATTTTAAGCTTTTATTACAATCTAAAATCTTTGCATGTTATAAACTTTTGTAATATTAACAACTTCAAAAACGATTTAATTTTTAGTTTCAAGTTTGTTTAATCAATTAATATTTTCTTCTATATACTTACTCCATTTTACACGTATGTGGTGAATTTGTTGCATTTGGTTTCCACGTGCACCGACTTGGACGATCAGGTCGTTTGAATTCCATCATTAAATATCACTTAAAATTCCTAAACTTAATAAAAATAGATAATAAAAACAGTCTTGATAAAGAGGTGAAATTTTATAGAATCCTCTTTTTACATATGCTTGTTTAACGAAAGCAATGTGCTTACTATCAGTTTTATCACTTTACAGATTATTTTTAACTATTATAAAAGTATCGATATAATACGCTATTATTACAAATAACAAATATTTTAATTTCAAATATCACGTATTCTCATAATTTCATATCTTTCTTCTTAACTGATACGTATTTAGTATGATAGATAGAATTCAATTTATAAGATGCAATATATGATATATCACACATTTGTACTGCTCATGCGAATGATACTGATTCCGTTGAAAATTTCGCGTTAGATATATATACTCTGTTCTGAAGATTGCACTATACAAATTGTATTCGATAAAATTACATTTATATATGAAGATTACATGCAAATTTGAAAACATAATTTTTATATTTTACAGTATCAAATATTGTATATCGTTCAAAAAAATGTATTTGTAACAATATTTGAAATTTTTGTTCCATTTTTGTTAGTGTTAGACAAGGATAGATCAATTCAATATGGTGGAACATTTTTAAGACCGTCACTGTTTTTTGTTTCATTTTAAACAGTGACTTTGCATTGATAAAAATTTTGATAAGGAAGTGTGATACCAATGATTACAAAAAACATAATAGCTGCATAATTTTGTGGAAACTATGTCAACTGTCGTGTGTTCTAATGATAATTGAAACTTTTACTTGAAATGGATTGTCACTACTGCAACGATTATACATTTTGCGAAAATCGTATACAAAGTGTGTTTTCAAAATGTATTTACAGTAAAAGTAGTGTATTATATTATTGATAATCATTACGGAATATTGTATTATTATCATTCTTTAATCTAACCAAGTGTATATTATAAAGCTGTGACAAATTTAACTGTACAATTGTACTATAAAATTATTATGTACTTTGAAGTGGAATCAATTCAAAAATATCCAACCATGTACGTAATTTTATAGTAAATAAGTTGTTACAATATTAATATCTAATATTAACTTTATTACCCTATGATGTGTCATTATTTACTAATCTTTTAAAACAGCTGTTTCAACATATTTTTATTTTGAATGATTTGCAATATTTTGTGCAACAGGAATAAGTCAGTGGAAGATTTGCTAATATCTAGCCGTGACGTTATGAACAATGTAAGTTCCACTGGACTGGAAAATCAAAATTCAACAACAAATGTGGGAAATAATGTATCAGATAATGTTCAAGAAGCAGTTACTGGAGGAACTGTAGAGCGAGGTAGTCCTGTTTCAAGTCCAAATTTGTCTCCACGTCTTAGTCCAAAAGTACGTTCTAAGCGGGATCATTCAAAAACAATTCATGATCCAACTTCCAAAGAACATAATAATGCCAATAAAGTGGATGAAATACATGTAAGATTCTATTATTTTCTTTTTTATAAAATTGTAATAAACAAATTGAATAAAACTAAAATTTAGTTTCTAAAACATTTTTAATGTTTATATTTAGCAGCAGGATGTAGCAAATAAATCATCAGATTCTTCTCAAGCTGTAAAAAGTTCACACGAAGGAAAAAAGGAAACGCGTGGAAGTGAACGAAGTAAAAAGAAATCATCTTGGTATAACGTTCTATATCCAACCTATAAGTCTAGATCAGAAGACTTTAAACGAATTTTTAAGGATGTACCAGATGATGAAAGATTAGTCGTTGGTAAGTAATTAACTTGCAGATTATGGATTGTTTAACAATCGTGCAACATAGCGTCCTAGAACCAAATGGCGGACTCTGGGTCCATTTGGACGTATATAATACATGTATACTACATTTCTGAATTATTGAATTTTCAAAATGTTTTCTTAGTCAAAATTTTATAGTTCATCTGGATGTTAATAAAACTGCTTGAAATGAATGCATTAAAAAACTTTTCAAAGTACAGAAATTATAAAAAATGTTATATGTAAATTCTTTTTCTTTTTTTCACAGTAATCATATTAAATAAAAAGAGGAAAAAGAATGAACAAGTAATATTCATTCATAATAATTAAACATCAATGACATTAAATATTAACAGTTACTAATTCATATATTTTTACTAAAACTTTTTCCAACAATTACAAACATGTTTATTATATTTATTGTTACATTTCCTACTAACTTTTTTTAAACGTAATTCTCAAACGCACACGTTTCACTTTATCACTATAGGATGGTGTTTTGTTTTCAATAATGTAAACAAGACGACAACAACAAACGTGCCGCGCAGTGAAATTGCCGAAACGACGCAAGCATCAATGTATGACCAATAAGTAGTTTATAGGCTAGTTCTGAGTAGACCCGGAGACCGCTGAACAAAGGTTAATTAATTGTTTTCTAGGTTTGATAAACACATATTTTGGTAATTGTTAGAATTCAATGAAATATTTATTTAATAAAATAGAAGATAAAGTATTTGTTATATTTAACAGCACGGATAAAATTAAATTAAATTATAAATATGCAATTAATATAAGAATAAATATAAATTAAGAATACATGATTTTCAGACTATTCGTGTGCACTGCAACGTGAAATATTAGTTCATGGTAGGCTTTATGTTTCTCAAAATTACGTATGCTTTTATGCAAATATCTTCAGTTGGGAAACTTTAGTATGTCTACGCTGGAAGGATGTTACATCTATTACCAAAGAGAAAACTGCACTTGTTATTCCTAATGCAATTTTAATATGCACTGCCACTGATAAGTTTTTTTTGACATCATTTGGAGCAAGAGATAAAACATATGTAATGTTATTTCGTGTCTGGCAAAATGCTCTTATTGGTGAGGTATGGGAATCGCACAAAATGTTTCATAACATTAAAAAGTATTACTTTAGTGACAGAAAACATCATAATTTATATTTTATAATTTATGTAATTACTTTTGTATTAAATTTGAAAGATACAGCACAATATTTGTTTATTGTGTTATGATTTATGAAGTTTTTAATCATACAATGAATTTCCAAAAGTTATAAATACAAGTAATTGATCAATATTTATATATTCAACGTATTTATGCCTGAAATTTATTTCCTATGTTGTCATTACAATTTTATTATAGAACTTATAACCATTAAGTAGAATATAAAAAATATATAACAAAGTAATTGAATGATACTTCTAAACATAATATTTAATGTTTTAGTCAATGAATGCAGCTGAAATGTGGCAACTTGTACATTCTTGTTATGGAGATGAATTGGGTTTAACATCTGATGATGAAGACTATGTCCCCCCATTACCCCCAGTTGATGATGAAAAACTGTCTACAAGGTTATCTGTTGAATCATTTTCAGAGGTAATTTAATATGGAGTTAAATTGAAACAGCAATCAAAATATACAACTTTCATTTTTAGCATTCTTTAATTTTCATTTTGTTTATCTATTATGTATTTTCAATTAAAGGTAGAAAATAATAATATGGAACATCCAATAACTGGGACAATGGATGCAATTATTGAATCCAAACCAGAAGTTCATCATCTTCCTCGATCAAATCCTATTATTGATGCAACAGATCTGAGTGATACAACAGAAAGTGAAGCTGAAAAGCATGCATGTATGTATTAAATATTACTATTTTTTTAGTTTCATTAAGTTTTTATTTTCATAAAATGTTTTCTCCCAAAAATATAATTTTCTGTGTGTTATACCATATAATTGTTCAATGAAATTGTAAGAAACAGATTAAACATTTTACTTTTATGTTTTTTGCGTGATTTATGTAACAGTTTATAATATTGTATTTACAGTGAAATCAAGCGTTCGAGGTAATATAGTATGTACTTCATTACACGAAGGTCGTCAGATAAACCAAGCTATATTTCCCGTTCATATTGATCAGTTGTTTACTTTGTTGTTTACAAATTCGAAGTTCTACTTAGATTTTCAAACTGCTCGCAAAACTACTGGTAAGATACAATAATGTACATTTTTATATCAGATAATTTGTTAATTTAATTAACTAAAACATTCTATTTATGAATTAATTATTATTAAAATAAAAATATTATTGTAAAGATTTAGTACAGTCAGCATGGACACAAAATGTGCAAACAGGTCAGAAAGTCAGAAGTTTATCATTTACAATGGCACTCTCTCAAGCTATTGGACCAAGGACTTGCCATATTTCAGAAACCCAAGTAATTTTTTAAAGTTATTAATTAGATATATAATATTTAGTATTACTCTAATATAATTTATTAATTATCTAAAGAATTTTTGTTCTATATACAAATTTAATATATTTTCAGATAATGTTACCATGTAGCAAGCCAGGTCATTTATACAGCATTGATGTAGAAAGTGTAAATGCTGGAATTCCATATGCAGACTCTTTTTCTGTATTTATTCATTACTGCATGAATAGCATTTCTGAAAATGAAACAAGTATTTCAATTTATGCTCAAATAAAGTACAAAAAGAGTGTATGGGGTTTTGTAAAAGGTAAATATTTGAAATAAAGTTATGTTTTCGTATCCGCAAGTAATACGTATAAATATATGGATTTAATAGCAATTTTTGGAAGTTTGAGAATTTAAGAATTTATAAATTTGTTAATTTGGTAATTTGAACATTTATAACAAAAAATTTCATGAAAATAGCAAAGAAATCCTCAGGTATTGAGGAAGCAGATGCGGGAACGTGACAGTATATACATTTTGTTTTTATTTATAAACTTGAAATATATACTTTAAATAATAAAAAAAAACAGGTGTTATTGAGAAAAATTGTTGGGCCGGATTAGAAGAATATTTTACAAGTTTAGTAAAAGCATTAACTATAGAATGTGAAGAAAGTAGTGGAAGTGGAGGAGTGAAAAGGAAGGCAAGAAGAAGACGTCGTGCTACTGGTCCTGGTATTGTTTTACAAACCCATTCTACAGATCATACGTCTCCCAGTTTACAGAGCTCTTTGAATTTGCCACATGTTAATGATAATACTGGTATGAAATTAATGGTATAACATTCCACTACAATATATACATTTGCAAATTGTTGATAATTATAAGTTAAGGATATCCACACATATATATCTTTAATATATAGTTTCCGGCGCTCGAGGTGATTCCAGTATGATAATTAGTTCAATGCTTTTAATTGCGGTATTATGTTTGATGGTAATTAATGGTCTATTATACTATAAACTATGGGGTTTAGAAGAAGCTGCAGCCTATACAATCATGGATTTACATGTATTAAAGTATGTATTATCTATTCGATACGTGTGGTGTGAGGTATATTTGTAAAATATTTTACATTGTTTAATTTTTAGAAATACTCCAAAGACTGAAGAAGATTGGATCCATTTACTACAACAGCAGGAAAGTTTGCATAATGTAGAAATGAGAAAATGGCAAAGAGTACTTCATACTGCTGCACAATTACTTAGACAAGTAAAACATTCAGTTTTATTTTTATAAAATTATTGTTTTATATATTACATGAATTGACCAAATTATTTCATTTGATTTTAAAGACAGAAGAATCTTTAACGGAATTGCAAATGAGTATACATCCTACTGCAACAGAAAAAATGTTTTCGGTCTTAAAACCAAGTGTAAAAAGCTTCAATTCGCGTCCAGAACAGCGAAGTCATTCAGAAATGTAAAATATCCTGAGAAAAATAACGTGAGTATCAATACGAAATATAAGTAAAAATTATAATTATTAATAAAAATTAAGTGTACTTAATGATACCAATATTATACAATGTTGTACTTGCATAGAACATAAATTAGATAAACAAGTACGCTGTGATGATTGCTGATAACTTCAAATGCGCAACAATACGCATGTAAATTATTTATAATCTACAAGAAATGTGATGATTTAAATTTATTCATTTGTATTATTTGAATATTTGTAGAATATTATATATAAAATTTTTTTCCTATAAAATGTTAAGTTAAATTAAGTTACATTTTTAATATATTCTTTGTATATAAATATACACGCCCAAATATATATAAGTATGAATATTAATTATAAATATAATATTTATATTTATATGTTTATGTGTGTGAATAGAAGATGTATATTAGCACAATGTAAAGCAGAAAAATAAATAATTTTTAGAACAGCTTTTAACTTTATTCCAACAATTACCAATCTTTTGAGTAATTATTTTTTAGCTATTTACTAAAATATATCTTTATAAATCTTTAAAAGTTACGAACTGTTACAAAGGTATTGTAAAAACAAATAGTATTTTTGTATTTATGACATTTTTTTAATTAAGAAATCATACATTTTCGATTTTACTTGTCTTCTGGTTTGTTAAATACAAGTGTATAACCGCATTTGCCACAATAATGTCGATCTTCCATTGCAGCCATAAAAACTCCTGCACCACACTGTTCCATAGGACATTCTCTTCTTAGTCGATGAATCTTTCCGTTTTCGTCCACCTAATCAATAACATTCATTTTCATTGATATATTCTCAACTCATTAATACATTTTTATTTATTAGTATTTCTAATTATTTTTTAATATTTTTATATAATTTTTTAAATACCTTATAAAATTTGAGCACTGCGAGTTTAACCTTCTTCTTCTTATGTTTAATTTTTTTTGGAGTTGAATAATTCTTCTTCTTACGTTTCTTAGCTCCACCTCTTAAACGTAAGACTAAATGCAATGTAGATTCCTTTTGAATATTATAATCTGACAGAGTTCTACCATCTTCCAATTGCTTTCCAGCAAAAATTAATCTTTGTTGGTCAGGTGGAATTCCTATAATGTAAATGTGAATGTGTTTTTAAAAAACATTTCATAAAATAATTAATATAAATACATATTTTATATTGTTACCTTCTTTATCTTGAATTTTTGCTTTCACATTTTCGATAGTGTCCGATGCTTCAACCTCGAGGGTAATGGTCTTCCCAGTAAGGGTTTTCACAAATATCTGCATGGTGAAATGAATGTAACTGCAAGAAATAAATAGTTCATATATTTTTTACTATTTTAAATATGTATTACTACAGAAAACCGTTTTGTAATTCATAAAATATCATAAAGTATTATACACAAAAGTAAGGAAATAATTAAAACAGTTTGTATGTCAGCAAATGTATTTTTTTATTGTAACCGTCTTTTTGATTTACATGTAAATCAATTATGTAGTCATTCAATAATAATTTATACAAGTAAAACAGCATTAATACATCCATCATTTTCAGGGTTGTTCGTAACTTGAGCATATTTTCCCCAAACTACTTTTCCAGACTGAGTTACAAGACCTAATTCTGAAATATTTACTTCAATGATTGTTCCTTTAGTAATAACACCTAAACTGGTATACATAGATGAGCTCGGATTTTTCTTAACTCCAATAATTGGCAAATAAAATGTGGTCTTTAATTCAGGATGAGTTACATGTGCCTTTTTAAAACGTAATGCCATTGGTCTAATAAATCTTTCAAATTTTGGTGGTTTTCTTGTAAAGTTCTCACCAACAAATGTTACTTTTGTTACCATTCGCTTCCAAGATTTGCGTCTAGATTTTCCAGTTCTCATTATTTTAAAAACTTCAGATTCTGACTGTGTTTTAACTTTAGGTATTGGTACATCCCATTTACCAACTTTTTCTTTGCGTTTTTGTTTTATCATATTTGACAAAACTTTTGCATCCTTTTTAACATCACGATCTAGCAGATATACAGGTAATGCTCCATTTGGTACATCATTCGACTTTTCCTTTACTTTCTTTTCCATATGAGACTTAATTTTCTTTTTCATTTGTATCTTCTCATTTCGTCTTTCTTTGTTGAAAATCTTTGCTTTTATACCACGTAAAGTACGAGCCCGTTCTGCTCGTTTATGAGGCTCACGAGCCTCTCTTTTTCTTTTCCTTTCTTCATAATCTAATCGTCGCCCATACAGCTTACGATGTCTCTCAATGTATTCGTTTTGCGGCATGATGAATTACACGTTTAGTTGTCAATTATCTACAAAATAAATTACTTCAACTTGAATATTTTGAAAATAGAAAGTTTAAATACTAAAACATTTAATACATATTAATAAAAATTTGCCACATGTATATGAATATACACATTTATTTTTAATTTTATATTTATAATTTGCTTCATAATTAATTTAATGTTAATAAAGAATATATACTGTTTATATCCTTTAATGCAATTATATTTAAAAATATAATTTGAGAAATTACATGTATTTATTATAGATTATACCTACCTATATATTTTGTATTTAAATGCACTATACCGTACTTAAATTTATATTCAATAATAGTAATTTATCCTTCGCGAATTTCGCACGTTTTGATATAAATGCAGAGTTTATTTGTACATTTCACTACATTGTGAAATTCATATAAACGTTGGTAGTCAATACTGTTCACTTCACACATTCAAAACATACTATGTCTTCAGGAACTTTAAATATTTCAAATATAGTTCTTGTATATTAAAAAAGTTACGTGATATGTGAAAATATTGATATATTAAATTGAATTTTAGCAACTATAAATCACATCAATGTGATTTTAAGATGCAATCACATTTACTACAACGTGCCATGTGTTCAACTTAAACATATCTTGGAAGCAAGTAAAATACAATAACTATAAATGCAAAGAATGTTTCAAACGCATTTATAGAAATTGTAAACGTAAACGATAGAATAGAAACATTCGAATAATCATTATTTTTCAATAATTTTCAAGATTTATCGCAAAACTTACCTTCAACTACGCCATGCACATAAGAAAAGAAATCGTAAGTAAGGAAACTCTAGATTGGAGAGATAGTCAACGCCATCTATTTTGTAAATTTAATAGACTACGTTTCCATCGAGGGTTCAAATCGGGTCAGAGTCGGGTTAGAGTCGGGTTGGGGTGAGCGCTTTTACGGTGGAAACACCAAAGGTTTAGTTGAACTCTACCCTACAAAATTTTAGGGTAGCGTTCAATTG